CCCCCCCCCCCCCCCCCCCCCCCCCCTCTCTGTGTTTGTGTGTCTGGCTCAGTCATTGAATCCCAGCCAGGAATGTGAGTGACTCTGCAGGCAGGCTGGGCTCTTCCAGGAACAAGCCGTCACCCCCCCCCCTGGCCTGCAGAGAGCAGAGAAGAGGAGATAGAAGTGGAGGGAGAGGGAGGAAAACCAATGCTGCGTTCATGTCATATGGGAACAAGTCCACTTTCTTACAGTAACAACTACAGTAGTAAGTGCACGTACTACAATCTACATGTGATGCTACTTTATTGCAGACGTACTCTTACTCTGGGCTACTACATTTATTTGACAGCTATACTTGGTAGATTAAACGTTTACATACAACCAAGCTGTTATCTCTGATTGACACGTTAAGGCGTCAGTAATAATAACACATTAGGCCAGAGGTCTTCAACAGGGGGTCCGCGACCCCTAGGGGGTCCGCGGAGGTACTGCAGGAGGGGTCCGCGAAATCTTTGGTTGATTAGACCATTTATTTTCTTTTTTTTTCCAAACATGAATCTGTCCATTATTTTAATAGTTCAGTATTGTATGCAAGATAACAGGTATGTTTATGCATGGCAGTGGCACTAATAGGCCATCACTCATTTTGGTTTCCACATTTATGTTTAAAATGAAAACGTCTATTTGAATAGCTTGTATGCATGATTATCATGCAACTGACAGACAATGTTGATATTGGCATTGGTATCAGCTCACAAGGTATGTTTATAAATGGCAGTGGCACGGCGTCCCTACTCACTGTGTCTTGCACATGTTTAAAATAAAAACATGGATATATGAACCTGTGTATTATTTGAATAGCTTAGTATTGAATGCACAAAAACAAGCTATGTTTATACATGGCACGAGGCCCAGTTTAATATAAAACACAATTTTATACAATATATCTCGTCGGGGGTCCCTGCTCCATCTCTATCAGTTTGGGGGTCCTTGGCCTGAAAAACGTTGAAGACCCCTGCATTAGGCTACTATTACATATATAATAGCTAAAAGAGGCCGTTCTGCCAAATGAGTATCTTTAGGCTACTTACGTATATTTCTATAGTTTTCTTAATCCAAGCTCTGAATGGAGTGATTTAATTGGCTGTAATGGAGAAGATATTAGTTTTACTAATAGACCTACTTCTTAAATGTACTAATCTTGCTAATACTTCTGTAGGCCCCTTTTACATTTTAAATATGTGATTTTTTTTTTACATTCTCATATTTCCACCACTGCTTGAGAAAGTGAGTGTTTGGTGCTGCATCTTTGACTAATGCTGCGTTCATATTGTCTATCATAGCTTTTAGAGGGCAGTACCTATTTTCCAGATTATAAATAATAACCCAAATAGAAATACTAAAAATATAAATAGGGTTAATAATAATTAAATTACTACTATTCATATTAATAATAGTACAAACACAATTCCAGTTATTGACAGTGTTTGTAATCAACGTGCAGTTTGTGACTGCTCGACGTGAGGAACGCGGTCCATTCAGTCATCGACTCAAACCTGATGTACGCAGGATTTCCACACAAGAAGGTGCTATTTACCATTTTTCCAATGGGCCCTGAATGTAGCAGAAGAATAGAGAGCGCTTATGTGAATCGTTTGCTTCGCGGCTGTAGAGAGAGAGAGAACCCACAGAGGATGGGTGTTTCGCGAGACAACACACATTTAGCTTTGGAAGGGGAAACAGAAATTGCACGACTTCTGCTTGAAGGTGTTAAAATGGTTTGGCAAGTAGAGCCGCTTCATGTGCTGCTGACTTTGAGAGAGAATCTTGCGAATGAAGAAAGAAGATTTATTTTTGTTTGTCACAGATCAGTAGAAACCTTTAGTTGGTTAAATCACTAGCACAGTCAACACAAATAAGAGCACAATTTAAATTCGTTACAGGCTTATATTCTCTCCAGTTATTTATTTGGACTTTTATCCATATGCATTTTAATCTCTCTGCACAAATACAAAGGTTGTTTTAAATAGTTTGTCATATTAATACATTGTTACAGCGCTTTCATATCTTCACTTACCATGGATTAGATGTATATTGATAAAAATGATGCTTGATGGTTCCTGTTTGTGTTCAAGGTAAGTAATTAGTTTTTTGGGGGACAGAATAAAAAACTTTTGTAGTGATTAATAATAGTAATATATTATTGATCGATAATCAAAATCCAGTGACTCCACTTTAGGAAGTCATGTGTCGGCTGCACTTGTTCTCCTCCAATAGCTCTGATTAGTTTGCTGTTCCTTTGGCATCCCCTAGCCAAACATTGCTGAAACTGCAACATGATGGCAGCCTGGGGCGACAGATCTGGAAGGATCCTCTCCACTGCAGGCCAGCAGACAGAGGGCCCATTCAGTTTGTGGATGTGAACATGTGAACGTTCTGTGTGCTCCTGTTAGAGAGGAATCCATGAGAAAACAGAGGTGAAAAGTTTCCCCGGACGAGTCTGTAGCCTGACAATCCTCAAAGAGGGGAAGGGAGGGGAGCCGTGTGACGCAAGGAGAATGAGATGTGATTCATCATGTCTGTCGATGGTGCTTTTATCTGTGATTATCTGACTGTGGAGGGTGCATTGAGTTTTACCAGCATACAACTATAGGGCAGGGGCCCCCAATGGTATATGATCCCTTATGAGGTGCACATAAACGGGGGGTTAGAAGACTTTTACCAGTAACTGCATGGTTTGTGCTCGTCCCTCATGCATTTTGAGAGGGTGCAGGAGTGCGGTCTCCTATGGGTGGCGATAGAGAGTCTGTGGGGCCTTCCATTTGTTTCTGGTGGCCCTTGAATGTTTTTTGCAGTTGTAGAAGGCTACATGCCAGTGTCTTGTACTATTGGACCAGGGTAGGTTTAGGAGTGTGCAGCAACAACATTTTAGGAGATAATCTTTTAAATGTTTTTTTGATTGTTTTGTTGCTACTCTTGGAACTTCTAAATCATGATCTGGGCCTTTGGGATGAAATGGCGTAAGACTTGTCCCACTGGTAGATTGTCTATACGCTCTTAGGATGGCATGAGGGGGCAGGACCAGTGTGTTCCCGACAGCCTCTTTCCTGAATATTGTTGCTGATGGATAAATGTTCTCCTTACTTATTAGAATCTCTAAGAAAACAGATCTGATACTCATGTTGACATGGTAAGTTTGAGCTTGTGGTCTGTGTCAGGTAAGGAGTTGAGAATGGGGAGTTCTGTGTGTGCTTGAATGAACCGTCATATGGAATGTTGAACCCTCTATATTTAATAATAATTTATTAAATTTATTATTAAATATAACGAAAAATATAACGCAATTTGCACTTAACCTGATTGAATATGTAATGAAACCCAATAAAGTAATAGCTTGACCAATTATGTTATGAAATGTACAGACTGCTATTGTGATAATGTTTGTACAGATGATGTCATATCTTTCAGGAGGATTTTGCTTTCAAAACGGATGTGTTTATACAGATAATAATGTAAGAAAGTATGCAAGTATAAGTGTAATACTGTTAGTGCCATGTTAGCCTACTGAAAACACTAATATTTGAGGCCATGTTTGGAAATGTAAACTCTTTTACTAGCTTTAAAAAGGCTTTCACTATTAAAACAGATGGCAAATGGTGCGTTGTTATCAGGGAAAGATGCATTAAACTAGAATCCCTATCACTGGTAAATGGACTGGCCCATAACCCACGCTGACTGGTCCATTAGACCAGAGTGGATCTTAGATTATACCCCATCAGAAGATGACAGAAGATGGTCAGCGCACAAGCGTGCAACAAAGACAACACAGTCGATTCAGTCTCCATGAAATGTTCTTTTGCATCATGGTCAAAGGTGATTCTTATTGAATGGTCTGTTATGTCTGCATTCAAATAGGGTTTAATACCGTTTCATGATGTGATGATCCAAACACAGATTTTATAGTTTTAAAACAGAGATTTTGGACAGAATTAGGCTCAGAAATATTTAACTACCCCTCATGGCTGCATGCTCAGCCCTCTCCATTACTCTCTGTTCACCCTCGTGGACACACACAGCTGAGACACCATCATCAAGTTCGCTGACGACATCGACCTGATCACCAGGTGTGATGAGACGGCCCTACAGAGAGGACGTCAGAGCCCCGACATCTTGTTGCCGGGACATCTACACCCATCTCTGCAAAACTGAGGAGCTGATTGTGGACTAAAGGAAGTGACAGGGAGAAGGACACGCCCTTATCTCCATCAATGGGACTACAACGGAGAGAGTCAGCAGCTTCAGGTTCCTCTGGGTTCACATCAGTGAAGACCTGACCTGGTCTCACCACACAGACCCTATCACAAAGACAGCAGCTGAGGAGGTTCAACATGGACTCCAGGGGTACATCCCAAGTCTCTTAATTGTCATTTCCTCGCTCCTCAATCCTCACTTGAACCGGAAGTTGTTCTGCTCCGCCATATTGACGGCCGTCCCAAAGCTCTTATTTAGCTCGGAGGAGCGAGGATCGAGGAGTGAGGAGGGATCTCCGAGGAGCCATGAGCGAGGACGCACAAGAACAGCCTTCCAGGAAGTGTTTCAACGGCTGACACGCCCCCTCATTGTTCACCAGTTATGTGATTGGACGCTGCAGCCGATCGGACTGACTGACTGAGTTTAACATCAGAGTGAACACGGATCACAGATTAAACACAAGTTTTATATTTTATATGTTTTCTGATTCACCGTCTGGTTTAAATAAATGTTCATTGTAGGTCTAAACAACAGAAGGACCACAA